TCCTTTTTTCCAGGAAGAGCATCCAGGGTCATGTGACAGTGAGCACTCACCTGAACTGCTAGAAGACCATCTGCGTCAGGAAGAATACGATAGGTGTGAACATGACGTTGGAACCTTTAGAAACCAAAAATGACAGTGGTTATTGGTACTGCAAAATACTACAAGGCAAATGCTCAAAGGCAAAGTGTGCACAAATGTAGGTTTATTTAAGGATCCCATGTGGATCCCATGTGTGTATTAAAAACACTAATTTCCTCAGTAGTCTTACAGATCACTGACTACAGATCAACAATGTGTCAAAGAAGAACATCATCTCCATCCATCACTTCAAAAAACACATTCAGGCAGCATATAAAGATGAACAGGTTTAAAGTGTTTTGCTACAGTATATTACACGAAGAAAGTGATGGAAGAAAGGGTCAGTACAAAAAGGGGGGAGGGGGGCAATTTCAAAGAGTGAATGAGATACTGAGAAAAGAATGAAGGGAAAGTGGGAGCACTGTGACCAGCCAGGCTCAGCTTTCAGGAATGTATCTGGCTTTGGCTGATGAGCAGTCAGCGTAGTGCGGTCGCTGGAGCTCCTGCCCACTTTCAGGGGCCCCAGGGAAGAAAGAGGGGTAAGTGGGGAAACAGGGAGCAATGAGCTAGGGTTTGACTGCCTGTGATGGACTTTACTTGGACGATACCATCTGACTAGTCTGGACAGTGTGTATTTGTGAAGTCTGCCCAGCGTGTAGGCACTTTTAGCCACAGATGTTTCTTCACCGCCTTCTGTCAGATGATGGTGAAAGTGATGGATATGACAGGATGAGAAAAGCTGCTGAATCAATTTACAAATGACAACATTCTGTAGAGCTAAATGCTTAATATTTGCCAAAATCGAAATGTCTTACATGGGTAGGTGTACTTATTTCTGGTTTTGTGTAAAAACAGAACAATAAATGAGTAATTTGATGTTTTCAGTGAGCTAAAACAAAGAAAATGAGACTTTCTTCCAATACATTTTGCAATATTAATACAGAGGGTCACTTATTATTGCATTTTCCCTTCTAAGTTCTGAGGGATACAGCATTACTATCACATTTAAAATGTGCTTGTTATTAATATACCGCC